AAACAAGGATATAAAGATTGATGCTTTAGCACAATCTCTTGATAATACCAGGTTAATACAAACAGGAGACATAAACAGGTTGATATAGACAGGAGATATAAACAGGATGATTAAAAAAGACAATGATGAAGGAAGCAGTAGTGGACCCCGAGGAGATGCCATTATCAAAAGTCCAAAGAAGATAACAATTAATGAGAATCATATAATGAATATCAAGATAAGGACGGATGAACCAGAGGATGCTACCTCTTTAACGCCAAAAGAAGAAGAATATAAACAATTTACAAAAATTGTTTATGAACTTAAATCAACATATCCATATTATATATCTCCAGGAGATCATATCTACCCAAGATTGATAATTATGAAAGGAGCAGATTCATTAATGGTCAAGGTGACAACGGACTTTAGATATACCGATCTAATCTATCCAGATACAACATTAAAAGAAATTGAGAAATTTGATGATATCTTAAAAAGTCAAGTTTCACAATTTGCACAGAATAAACCGATATATATGAAATTCTACTCCATAAGTCCAGAAGTTGAAGATGGAATATATTATCCAGCAGAACATATAATCACAATCGGACATGTTGGAAGAAATTTCCAAATGGATATAGGAGAAGGTGAAAAACCAGTTCCAAATTTCTCCAAAGCATGGATAAAAAATAGAAGGGTACTAGGATACAAAGTTCTAAACAATATGTCAAAAAAATTTTATGAATGAAAATTTCGATGCCTATGCCAATGGATGGACACTTTTAGCAAATGATGGTAAACAAAAATCAGAAATTTTGAAAGAATATATCAATAAATTTGATACACATCAGATGAGTGGCAGCATCTCAACCATCAAAAGAGCATACGAAGCCAGAAGATGTCCCTCTTGTCAACAAGAGAAAAAAGAGATTCCAAAGAGATAAGAAGGATGTGATTTGAAGAACACACCTGCATGTAAAGACAATCCTTTAAAAAAGATGTGATATAAAGTAGTTGCATGTAATGGAGGGGCCGTAAGGCTCTTGATAGAAAAAGCACAAATTATTAAGTGCTATATGATGTATGAAATGATGTAAGAGGTCAATAATTCTGCCTCAATTAGATGTATAAATAAAGGCCTTCGGGGCTAGAAGAAATGTAGAACAAATTTGAGCACTCAGAAAAACCTTCTGTCAAATCTTGTATCAATTTACAAATATATCAATTCTATCAATTTTGAATAGACCATTCACATTCCAATGCTCTCAAATGGAAATGAGTTTCTAGTCCACTTTTCCCATAGATTCTTGAAAGATTAAGGGAAAGATTTCTTTCTTACTTTATAAAAAAGGAGAATTTTCCTTATTTAGGATCTATAGTTTTAATTCTTAGAAAAGATACAGTGAGAACAAAAGTTGAAATAGCAAGGATCCTGTGAAAGCAGGAAGCCGTTAAAGTGAGTAGTTTGCAGATCCAGAGGCTTGAAGGTCACTCTGTTCTGAGAATAAAAGCCAAAGATCAAAACTAAGGTAAAACTATTAGTTTCGTCAAATTTGAAAAGAATTTTCCTAAGATCTTAAAATAGATGTATAAATAGAAGCCTTTGGGTTAGATGGAAAATAGAACGAATTTGAGCACTCAATTTGTGAGAAAGCCAAAGATCTTCTGTTAGTCTTGTATCAATTTCAAATATATCAATTCTACCAATTTGGAGGAGATCATTCACATTCCAATCCTCGCAAATGGATATGAGTTTCTAAATCTTATTTCCCATAGATTCTTGAAAAATCTGATAGATAATTTCTTTCTTACTTTATCAGTAAACAAAGTTGTTCTTTAACAGAAGTCTAGAAATTTAATTTTCAGAATCAATATAGTGAGAGCAAGAAGTTGGAGTAGCAAGAATCCTGTGAAGGCAGGAAGCCGTTGGAGGGAGTAATTTGCACATCCAGAGCTCAAAGGTCACTTGAATCTGAGTTTAGAAATCCAGACCAAAATTAAAGTAAAACTACTTATTTACTGCTAAATTTAGAAAGAACTCTCTTAAAATTTTAAAGAATCGCAGAGACTAAGGGTGTGTTTGAGCCACATTATTTTGAAAGAATGTATTTTGGAATAGTAGATTGATGGAGAATATGTATTAAAAAAAAGAAAAAATATTGATGTGATGGAAAATATTATTTTATTGAAAATGTGTGATTGAAAATGAATAGAAGAGTGAGAATGAAAATTTTAATGTGACTCACACATAGGCTAATTGTTATGAAGTTTTCTCATGATGTTGTTCATAGTTTGATATTCAAAGATGCCGGACATACAATTGAAGGATTAAATAAAATTTTAGAAAAAATATTAAGAAAAATAAATGATAATGATTTATTACTAGAAAATATGGATGTGTTATCTGAAGAATACGATAATCTTACGAAAGAAAATGATAAGCATGTTACAAATTATTCTAACTTCTTAGATAATAGAATGAATCTATATATTATAGTTCGAAATAGAAGAAATAAAAGATGAAACTAAGTTTTAAACTATCTTAGAAGGAAAAGGATATACCATGCAATTTATGAAAATTTATATCATTAAGGTTAATATAGACTTTTCAATAAAAAATTTAAAAGGCTTAGTTAACCAGGCCAAATTGAAAAATCTTCCAATAATTACTCCTAAAATGATGGTTATTTGAGGAAAGTGTGGGATTTATTAGGCTAATTGTCAATAATCAGCAGAGGCCATCAAACTCGAAAATGCAAGAATGCCTTAGACCGGATTGATTTAGGAGCACCATTTTTGTTGTATAATGCATTATAAATAGTGAATTGATGAAAAATGTGTGAAGAAATTTTTTTTTTGGATTGTGTGTAATATTATTTTATCGAAAAATGTGTGATTGAAAAGAAGTGAGAAAAAAATGTATTTTGAAAAAATTGAGGATCAAACAGTAGCTTAGTCCCAGCTTTCAAATTTATTTTTTCTCAATTTTTTAAAGTATATATTCTCCCAATAATTTTACATGGAATGTGTAATTTTTCTATACATTTTAACTATACAAAAATTTAGTTTTCATATAACTATACATCAAACATGTTCTTAATTTGTCTTTTGAACGGATCTTGAATTGTCTATATAGATTTAATACAAACTAAATTGACTCGTAGCGTTGTGCGAGGGCTTTCCATTTTCTTTTATTTAAAATTTGAAAATAATAATAAAAAGTTCAAGAATGTTAGTAGGCCTACCCCTAAGAGCCCGACACGACGCATTCTATGTCTCTTAACATGTTGAGACAAACAAGGGTCTAAGTCCAATTTATTAGGGTGCGTTTGATTGTGAGCATGAAATTTACATTGAAAAAAAAAAAAAATTATAGTCAATTGAATTGTCAAGAACTTATTTATATGAAAATTATCAATTAAATGTGTTTGATTGATTTAATTTTTAACTTAAAAAATTTATATTTGTCTATTTTTTATTGGTGGATAGATGAGAGAAATAAAGAGTGAATTACCTAAAAATAAAAACCACCACCCTCTAAAGAAAATATTTTCCTTGTTTTCAAGGAAAATATGGCGACGTGATCAAAAGTAGAAAAATATTTTTCATGAAAAAAATTATCAATCAAACAACACAAAAATAGGAAATTAGATGAAAAAAACATATTTTTCATGAAAAATATTGACAATCAAATCAATATTAAGAATAAATATATGTAAAATAACATTTTGACCTTGTTTGAACCCCATTTTGGGAGAAAGAATACATTTTGAAAATCGCACAAGAGAGATAAATCGCACAAGGCAAACTCGGTACAAGGAGCTCGACCGAGGAAATGTTAACAAGGGATTCGAACTCATGACATTTGGTCTCCGCGTTCACCTGCTCCACCAACTTCGAGGGTCACTTGTTATTTTTCTTGTAGTAGAGGGAGCACCGAGTGAGTATAAATTAAAAGAAAATTCCTAAAATAGTTGAAGCATATTTTGTACTCATAGAAGAGATAATAGTGGATAAATATGTTCTTTTCCAGGGTTCTATTTCTTTTCTTGTCTGAAGTTTTCTGGTTCTTGGGCCTTGATCCAAATTTGTCTTATTTGGCAGGATGGAAAAACTAAAAAATAATTAAAAACAGAAGATATAAGATCCAAACGCAAAGCTAAATATTTTGTAATATGGTTGTGCTACTTGTACATTATGACATCCATAATAGATGACATAATGTACAAGTAACAGTACATTATTGGAGGGTGTGCTGGATGGATGTCATAATGTACAAGTAGCAGTACATTATTGGAGGGTGTGCTGGCCCACCGGCACACCCTTCAATAGGATAATTCCACTTGTACATTATGTCATCCATTATGGATGCCATAATGTACAAGTAGAATTATCCTTAAAAAAAAAGAAAGCAGGGACTGCCTTTTCAAATGGGTATCATTATTGATTGGTGCNGAACATCACACATTAAGGCCCTGTTTGACACACATTAATTTTTTCATTCTCATTCTTTTACTCATTCTCAACCACACATTTTTCAATAAAATAATATTTTTCATCTCATCAATAACTTTTCCTTCTTTTTCAACCACATATTCTCCATCACATCATCAGTAAAAATGCATTCTTTTTCCCAAAAATGTGCACCAAACGGGGCTAAACATGTAGGGACTATGCTGTAAAAGTTGGAAATTTAGAACTGAACAAATCAATCTCAGGAATGTTTGTGCACATGTTACTTGAAAGATGTACGATTTTCTTTGAAGTTTTTAGCAATCAAAAGAAAGAAGATTCATAACAACCAAAAAAAAAAAGCAAAAAATCTTGATTTATTCATTCATTCATTGCTTCTTCTTCTTTTTTTTTTTTCCTTTTTATGAGTAACCCAACTAGATAAAACACAAACGTAACCGTACAAATCAAATTTTCCCAACTAGATTGCATAGATGGGATGCAGAAAATGTCATCATCTCACAATCCAAGTAGGTGGGAAAAAGAAAATAATTGCATCAAAGAACCTACTTGACGAAATTGGTCTGCACTTTGCTAACCAAATGCTTTCCGTACACAGCTCCTTCAAACTTTTTGGTGCCACCTGTCCTCTTAACACACATGTCCAGGGGCTCTATTGCAGCATCAAAATTTGGCTGTTCATGAAGTAAAATCACAGGGAACGGAGAATTTAACGAAAATATTTCACTGCACGTGTAAACCACACACACCCAATCATATGTGTGAGACTCACTGACAATGGTAACAGAGGAGAGAAATTAACCTCATAAAAGTATGCCACACAAACACGATATTTTGGAGACTTGATGATGACCCGGTGCAAAGTTGAATCGTAAAGACCATTAGTTAGAATCTGCACAATCGCAATACTCAGGAAGGTATCTTCTTGTATTGCATGATGTTGAAATTCAGTTGATAAGGTGATACCTTAAGCATGTCACCAATATTGCAAACAAATGTGCCAGGAATTGGTGCTGCTGATATCCATTCGCCATTGCTGTTTCTCACCTTCAATAAATCAAAAGAATTGTTTAATGTGACATTCTTCCATGATATATACAGAGATCAGGAAAAATCCAATAGATGGGCTGTGGTAATTTGTATTTGGGAAGAAAGTTTTTCAAGACCGTGTCCTCTAGACACTGAAAAGAAAGGCAAGAATAAGAGGGAAATAACTGCTGGAATAAAGGAAAAGAGCATAGACGTACCTGAAGTGCGGTTATATCATCATCCTGATTGACCAATGTTAGTAGACCTGTAAAGCAAGAACACAAAACCTTTACTACATGCTTGCTAAGCTTAAGGAGTTCACTTGTGAGCAAATAAGTTATAAAATAAATAATTTCTTTTAACGGTGCAAGTTGGAAACAAGTTACTTATTTTGACAATATGTAAGAGTTACTTTCAGAACAAGTTTTCTACTAAGAAGTAAGAAAAAAGTAGTAACTTCTACTTTTTCTTAAGCTTAGCCAATCATCGAGAACTAGAATGTGTGATAGATGGAAATATTACCGTAGTCAGTGTGAGCTCCACTGCAATAATTTGACCGACGGAGATAGAACAAATACAGGACAATAGTGTTATGTAGAAGTAGGCAAAAAATTCATAGCAGAAGAAACTCGAATACCGGCACCCAGACTTACCAACCAACATCATTTTTTGGCATTTCCTGATGATGATCACTGGATGCACTGGGATAGCCAATTATCCTGAACACCCAAAATGGATCACCAGCTCTGTTACCTTCAAATGCATCCATAGATCCACCCAATGCTAGAGCAATTCCTCTCATTATCTTTCTAGAAAGATCTACCAGCATGTAGAATTAATTAATTATTTAATATTAAACCATAAATAAATTGTAGGCTAATACAGAGATTAATGAAAAGTTGCTAAGTTAGTTCATCAAAGCACCTGTGCATAGTTCAATATACTCCTCCATCAATTTTTTGAAATTTGGAGGATCATTTGGCCTGCATACGGAAAGAAATGCACATGAGCAAAGAGAAATATACTTACTGTTACAACCATACATCAAAAGGACAATAATGAAAAGGCAAGAACAAAGTGTATCAAGGCGCCATTCTGTGTGTCAAATATATGATTTTAAACTGAAAAACCAGTAACAAAATGAAGATTAAAGAATTCACACTAGGAGATATATTCAAATCAAGCATACAGGAAAGAGGCGCCTGTAATAAAAACATGCAACTCTGAATATCTTTTACGCAAATAATTTTTTGTTTTTTGTTTTTTGTGGGGCATACTGGTCAAATTCAAATTGACATACCATAAATTAGGTCCTTCCATGGCTTCACCGAGAGTTCCATACATTCCATGTTTCACTTCTCTGTAACACTGTTTTCGAGAAGAATAGTCAATAAAAAAATTTAATACACAGGAAGTACATCTCCTATTGAAAATAAAGGAATATGTTTTATACTTATACTTTGACCTTGGAAGAATTGTTTACATTCTCTCTCAAGATGCTTATAATGACAGTAAAATCAATAACCAGAAAAGGATGTGTTCTCAATATAAGCATCGTGACTCTTTAATTTGGAATAGAGAAGAAAGGAATTCGTGCTCAGTAGCAAACACACATTTCTGTGTTCTTGAAGCATATTTTGTTAACATGTATAAAATTAGCTACCTATGTAAATAAGCATCGCTCAAGGTTACAACAAAAAAGGAAATTAACTACCTAATTTCCTCCTTAAGATCAGCTACTTACTAAGAATCTTGGTTAAAAAGAACAAGAAAGCTACACTGTAAGGACAATAGAAGCTTGTTAGCGCCTGTCTGTACTTGATTTAAATAACTTGGAAAAAGGAAGTGGAAAAACTAGTAGAGGTACAAATTACTTTACTGCCATGACATTGTAATTATTTTCTTCTTTAAGTGCACGTGTGAGAGGGAAGTGCATGGGAATCAAACAGATGCGTATGAAAGAAATCACAGCATGTCCCATTGTAGTGGTTTGCAATCTCCAAATAAATAAATAAAAAATAAGAAGAACGATCCTTCACATACTTTCCACCCAATTCTACAGTTTTGAACCTACAGTAATTGAAAAATCAACCACATAAGAATTGCAAATGATGATATAATGTAGAATCTCTACTTACATCAATTGCTTCATGCATATCTGGTACGCCTTTTGTAATGTTTTCACCAACATGCTGATACCCTCTGCATGTAAATAGCACTGCTTTTGTTAGTGAAAATTGTAATGATTACGAGTTCTAAGAATTAGGCTCTCTATTGATATAGTAAATGTTTTCATCATATATGATATGGATGTACTACACTCTAGTTGCATCACATAACAAAGAACCTGTATCCAGACGCTGCAGAAAGTTTTATCTTAAGTTTCTCCTCATAAGGTAAATCGAAAAATTTGTGTGATATGCTTCTAATTTCTTTAACAAGCGAATCTGGGATACCATGGCCCTTCTGCATAAGTAACGTATCATCAGTATAAGCAAACACTGCGAAATAAAAACACAGCAGCAGTTCACAATCATCTTGAATTACACAATATCAGAAACTAAAAACCAGAATGAAATAATGGATTTTGCACAGAATTACCTGTAAAACTGATACAAGTGTAAACAAGAAACAATGAAATTACCACATAAAAGAATCCAGCTTCTCTGCAAGCTTGATCTAATTGTCTAACAACTTGGGCCACAGCTTGATCTTGGGCCATGTTTGGATCATCCCACTTCTCTAACAGTGCACTAATATCTGTCGAATAAGTGTAATGATTAACCAAAGAGGAAAAATAATTAATTACCCAACAAAGGGGTTTCTTTGAGCAGTGCAATCACACTTAAGTTGAATCTTTCATTTTTCTCGAATTCACAGATAAAAAAAATGGCAGTACATAAAAAACAAGAATTTCAGAAAGGGAAATTTCAAAAGGAAAAGCTAGTATAGAATTGTCGTAATTTGGATACCGATTAAAGGGATGAATTTGAATTCGGTGGCCATGGCGTTTCTCTAGTTCTTTATCCTCTACTTCCCTGGTTGCGAGATGATTAGGAGGAGTAATTTGCTAAATTTGCAGAGATTCCCTTTTTCATATCGACAGAGATCAGCGAGCTGATCGATTTATTAGAAAGATCAAGAAAGCCCATGTGCGATTCAGAATCTTAATCTACCGACACTCTAGATTAGTTGCGGCAGCTGTTTGACCATTCCAACTTTAAGCTTTTTGGTCTCTTATCAATTTATCACATGTTTGACCACATTAATTTTTTTTTTTCATTTTTTTACTTATTTTTAACTCCATATTTTTCAATAAAATAATATTTTTCATCGCATCAATAATTTTTCCTTCTTTTTCAACCATACATTTTCCATCAATCTATTAATCCAAAATACATTCTTCCAAACTAATGTGGTTCAAAATACAGTTTGACTCTTATTAAATTAAAATTATTTATTTCTTACTCATTTTTAACCATACATAAACTTAGATTTTTTTTTTTTAACTCCACATTTTCCAAGAAATATCTATTCAAAACATCATTTTCTCAAATTTCTCTATATAGCGGCCATGAAATAGGGGTTTCATAATAATAATAATAATAATAATGATGCTATGTAACATTATTTAACCGGTCCTCATTATTTCTAAAATATATGTTTCTCTCTCTTATTTTTAATCACACATTCTACCCAAAATATTGTTTTTTTATTTTTTTAAACCAAATGCTCCATCAAAATACTATTTCAAAATACATTTTGTTGAAAAAATGGGGCTCAAACAAGCTCTTAGAAAATTTTATAAAAGATTTAATTTATAAATAAATAGAAATACCTCGGAGACAGGTAAAATTATCATCAGATTCTCTACCCTCTCTTTTTTCCCATTTCATCTAATTGGTCTATGTTATAAGATAACAAGATGGTTAGAAGTAAATAAATGAATAGTAGTTGAAACTTCGTTGAAATGTATGATTGAAGTGAGATTTTTGTCAGTTCAATGACAAGTTGTTTTCTGTTTTTGTAAGCTCCTATTTGGACCCCAATAAATTTTAATTCATTTCCATATCTCCTTTTATCAATTACACATTCTCTCAATGAAATAATATTACACATAAATTAAAAAAAAAAATCTTATTTTTTAACCACACACTCTTAAAAAAACACTATTCAATTTTTTTTTTTTGTCAAAATAAGGACTAAGTATTAACCTCTGTATTTCAAACTTTCAACAATTGTAGGTAGATTGCAAGTTCTCACATTAGCCCACTATCGTGTTTCTCCCCTTATAGTAAACTTCGACCCACCATTAAATAGTAAACTATGCAACACAAAATTACAGATTATTAAATTGAAGTTAAGCAACCAAATTCGTGCCAAATTGAAATTAAGTGGGTGTTTGGTGGGGATTGAAATTAGATTTTAGTAGATTGTGATAGAAATTTTGAAATGCGTGATTGAAAAGTTGTGAGACCCATAAAAAATGTGGTTAATATTGATTGTTTGACTTTAATTTAGATTAAAATCAGATTTTAATCCAAAACAAACAGGCTCCAAGTAACCAAATTCCTCTCAATTTGAAGTTTAGTGGGCTAATATCAGCTGAAGTAAAAGTTTTGTGACCTCTGGTTTAATTAACCTCAAGTCCACGTGGAAGGTCAAGTCGGGGGTGCTAGTTCACGTAGGCAAATTCTGTTACGTTGTTTAATGTCGCACTAGAAGTTCAATAACCCAATTACAAGCCAAAACTTGGTGAATGAGAGTACAACTAACTCATTTAGCGACCAAGATGTTAATATTTTAGAAAATAAATTAAACAAGGGTTAAGAAAAACCACAATTGTATTGATCATTTAAGATATATTTATGTTACTTACAAAACTCCTATACTCCATAAACTACTTTGGGGGATATATCTTATTAGAGAGATAAACAAAAATATTTTCTCCCAACTAACAACAAGAATCTTATGATATATGTTGTTATAAGAGAAATGATCTACCATGCACAGTTGCATATTATAAGTTAAGCAACAATGTCATTACACATCGATTCAACGTATATAATTTAATTTCATGATCCACCAGAAACACCTATATCAATTAATTAATATGTCATGTCATCGTTGCTTAACTAGATCATTTCTTCTTATTATAGAAATAAACAAGAATATTTACAAAATAATTATCCCAACTCCATGCTAACATGTTAATATTGTGCTATATCTACAAATTAATCTTGTGTGATATCTGTTCATAGGGATAAAGAAAAACATTTACAATATAAGTTATCCCAACTGTATAATAATTACATGTGAATTATGTGATATATCTACGTGTTGATCTTGTGACATATCTTGTTATAAAGAGATGAGTGTTCAAAACATAAGTTATCCCAACTATATGCAAAATAGTGGCGAATTCAAGATTGGAGGTCTGTTAGGGGCGAACGTTGACCGTTAACCATTAATAGTCGACATTCAACAATCATAATAGCGAGATCATTTATTAATATTATAATTTCACCCGCCGTGAATATGATAGGCTGGCTATAATATTCTTCACTTCGACAAAGTCCACTCTTAATTGAGAGTGAGTTAAAATGTTAAATGGACAGATTCTTCACTTATTTTCGTACTTGGATTACATCATAATTGTGCTTCTTGCAAGTTGTTTTCTTCTATCATTGGCTATTAATAGTAGTATTCCTCTCCAAGGAGTTGAAAATATCCTTACTGCTCTATAGCATGTTCTCAAGCACTTCCTGACCTGTGTTGTATTGACATTCTCGTCAATGATTAGTGTGCGATACATTTATTATTATTATTATTATTATTATTATTATTATTATTATTATTATTATTATTTCTAAATTGCACTAAGCTCAATTATACATGTACTTCCGCAGGTGTCCCCAGCACATTGCGAAATGTGGACATTGTGGAGCTTTCCTTATGGATAATCTTCCTCTTATCAAGTCTCTGGTAAAAAAAAATTGGCTGACAACCTTAATGCTCCAGTGTTTTGTAAAATCCTCATTTTCCCAGATTTGCAAGATACAATGTATTATGCTAAAATGTTGGAGAATGCTGGTTGTGTTCGTTTAGCCGTTCACGGATGAACAAGAGATGAGAAAGATGGAAAGAAGAGCCGGCTAACTGGAATGTCGTCAAGTCAGTTGGAAATGTAGTTAGAATTCATGTTCTTGCTAATGGAAATATACGGCACATGGATGATGTCAGGGAGTGTTTGGAAGAGACCGGTATAGAAGGGATTCTTTCAGCCGAGTCTCTTCTTGAAAATCCAGATCTTTTTTCCGAATATCAGACTGCAGAATGGGTATCGGGGAATGAAGAAATAAGCAAAGAGGGGAAACTGGATCAGGCTAACTTACTGGTGGAATATTTGAAGTTTTGTGAGAAACATCCAGTACCATGGAATATGATCCGTTTTCATGTGCACAAGTTGTTGGGAGAGTGGTTTCGAATCCACCCAAATATAAGAGATGATCTCAATGCACAATCTAAGCGGAGGGTGAAATTGTATGAACAAAATTCAAGTCAACTTAGGATGCAAGTGATAACTTGATTGATAGTTGATCAAAAGGTTACCAATCTTAATACAATTATTTATTTTATCTTTGAATGAGATATTTGAAATATGAAATGTATGAGTGATTTTTTAGTGGAAAATGTTGTCGTTTCCTTTTATTCCCCTCATTCCTTTTATAGGGAGAAATCTGCATGTATCCTTCATTTCCCATCTTATCAGCTATAGTACCAAACTGAGAAAATACACCACTGACATGTTTGAATTGGTTAACAAGATCGGCTTGTCAGGTCATCATGAGTTTAACCTTATAGGTAGTCCCTGTCAATCAATGAATTACTTAGGGAAGGAAACTAAAACATATGATTGGTAGACTTGATAAGCGCTGATGTAAGATCGTCCATATGTTACTTACTGATTGACTGTTTGTACAATATGCCAGCAACTAAAAATCATTATGTCCCTTCTAGCCTCAATAAATATCTCAATTCGAATTGACCTCAAATATCCGACCTGATATTAGCATAAGCTTATCTAATATAACAAGCTGTACTTATCGACCTCGGAGGTCAGATGCCAACATTTATGCCCCTAAGTCAGTACTTATCTAGGTGATGGGCCGACCTTGAAAGTGATTGGCACATTTTCAATTTCTATAATCATTATAGCAATAAATAACATGAACGGTGTCACGCCGTTTCTTGCCAATGAGCTATCATGCATATTTGGTTCTTTCTTTTGGAAGTTTCATCAAAACGACGTCGCCCCGAGGCAATTAAATCAAACCATTCATTTTCCCTCCTTTTCTTCATCCTATGGTCCAAATCACGTCCCTTAATATTCATTCTCCTTAAAAATAAATTTCACCCTCTCATTTTTTACTTTCATCTCTTTAGACTTTTTGCTTTAGATTGCATCCTTATCTATTTTTTGAGTAAGGTAGTCTGTATTTAGGTATTCTTTTTTTTAAAAAATATTTTTTTGTCTTTTACCTTTTTCTTGGTTTTCTACTCTGGTAGGTTATATGAGTTCGGATGAATCGAGGGTACATTCATGGGGTAACCAACAGAAGGAAATTGTACATTCTTCATCTTCTCCTTCTGCTAGTTCTTCTTCTGCTAGCTTAGATTGTCAAGAGGTATTAACACCAATTCCTATCACTTCAGTTTACCCAAAATAATCAAATAATTTTAGGAATATGGACCAAAATCACGAAAGGGAAGAGGTGGGATCTCAGTGGGGTAATGAGGAAAACACTATGAATGGGAGAAAAATTCTTATATGTTGGTGGTTACAGAAGATATGCTTGCCAGTTTAAGGGCTAAGTTTAGTATTCTTAGTATGGTAGAATTAGTAATACCAACCTCATCCGACCGAGCTAACACTCCACCAACCAAATGCGTAGCTTTGAATTCAGCTATTCTCCATGCTGGTTTAAGACTTCTTTTCCCTAAGA